TTGCCAAACCGGAAAAAAAAAAAAAAAAAAAAAAAAAAAAAAAAAAAAACTAACATTTTTGTATTTATCATCTATTTCTGGATTACTTCATTCAGACAAGTCCATTCTTAACTACTGGATAAGTTTTCTAAAGTCCAGTTCGAACCATTTTATTCTCTAGCTGCAAAACCTTCAGGGGCTCCCCATTGCCTCCACAATTTACACCCAAACTGTCCTTCATGGATCACAGAATCTTAGCTATACCTGCCAGTGATCCAGTCTAACCTCCCTCATTTTACTGATGGCGAAACTGAGGTCCCAGAAGATGATATGACTCACCTAAAGATACGCAAACAAAGTAATAGAGCTGGGACTAAAACCTAAGGCTTCTTTCCAGCCAAATTTCCTGTCGCACTCCTCCAGGTCAGTGCTACAACTAAACTGGCCACTTAACTTGAATAGTTCCGGTTTCCCCTTCCTTTGTTCCTTCACTCTTGCCGACACCTGTACCTAAAACAAGCCCCTTCCTGCACCTCTGCCTTTTAAGACACTTCACACACCACCTCCCTACGAAGCCCTTCCTGAACTGTCCTCTCCTGAATTGTCCTCCGGATGGAACTTCACCCTCCTTAGAATGCTGTGAGTACTTTGAACCTCACTTACCACTGCATTAATCCATGTCAGAGTAAAAGTTCCTCAAGGTGAGGGACCCATCTCTTTACAGAGTGTTGAGCACATTGCCAGTGCTCAGTATTTGTTGAATTGAACACGTTGGCCCCAGCTGGTGAAAGCAGTACATAGGTGATATGTTTCCTTCCCAATCCTCCATTCCTTTCTTTCCTTTCTACCTTGAGTCCCCTCCCATGAAAAAAAATTACCTTTACTTGTGACTTGGATTTTCTCACCATCTGTGCACTCTTCCACCTGCTGATTCTCAACCGGAGGCCCTACCCCTTCATTATTTGAGAACATCTTCAAAATGTTCGTGCTTCATCTGCCCCATCTTCTACACCTCAAGATTCTGAAGGGCCTTCTTGGTGTGTGGGGGGCAGGGGAGCACTAGGCTCCTAGTTGGGACTCATTACCTGAGTGAGCCTCCTTCACTGGCTTCTCTGCCCCTTAAATGTAGTTCCTCAGCATTCTGTCCACACTCTCCTGTTCATTTCATTGTGAGTGGCCACACCTGTTCCCTGCTGGCTCTCCTTTCCATGTATCCTAACACTTGGGGTGGGCACATCTCTCCCTGGTGGCAGCTGCCATCATTGCTGATAATAAAAATAGTAATGCACACCTATTGGCGTGCTGACTCTGCTGGTGGGTCTGCCAAATTTTGCATGGAACATACTTACACTGATAATTCCTCGTTGCTTCTCTGAAATTCAAATTTAACTGGCATCCTGTATTTTTATTTGCTATATGTGGCAACACTATTTATTTGGCATCTATCCAAGGGCTTTACATGTGTTATCTTATTTAATCCTCACAACAATTTTGTGAGTTGGGTGCTGCTGTTATCCCAATTGAGGCACCAAGAGTGACATGCTCCAGGTCACACAGACAGTAAATGGTATTGCTAATAATTGACCTCAGGCAGGCTGACTCCAGAGCCCATGCTTTTAATTGAACTGGCTTATTCACCCAAACGCATCCACAAAAGCCATCAAGAAAACGAGTTGTACCATTTCTCAGTCCCAGAGACCCTTCCTTACTGTTGTGGCAAGAGCAGAGACAACAGATTCCTAAAAGCTTGGCTTTCTACACTGCCAATGACCACAGTCGGTGAAGTGTGTAGAAAACCTGCAGCCGAGAGCCTCCACCCCACCGGTTCAGTGCGATCTCTTTCATGCTCAAGTCTACTGATCTCATCCTTCCTCTTCTGCACAAATAACTTCCAGACTTTTCCTTTCACCTCCCCCCGCCAACCCGGAGGTGTAGCAGGTGAGGACATGTGCTGCTGCATCCCTGAGGACAGCTTCCTTCACTTCCCAGTGGCTTTTCTTGCTGTACGTCATTGCTCTGACGAGAGGGCAGTGCCATTCTATTGGGTGTTCCTTCCCCTTGCTTGAGCACCAGCTGTGTTCTTCACTCACCTCTTTTTTAAAAACACAACACTCTTAAGCTTCCTAATTTTGTCAGTAATTCCCTAATTCCAGACCCCACACATTCTATTCCTACTAACTAAAACTCATACATTTCCATCATCCATTATAGAACATTTTTCCTGTTCAACATCACCTAGCACTTCAGTGATTTAACTCTTTATGGAGATGACTTTTATTTTTTTTTTTTTTTTGTCTTTTGTCTTTTTCCGTGTCTGGCAACGGATCGCAACCCTCCCCCCCCCCCCCGCACCGGACCGGGGACCGGCAACGGGATCACAACCCTCGGTGTTGCTCCCGCGCCTCGCTCAGCCAGCGAGCGGGAACCGGTCTGTATGTGGGATCCGAACCCTCGGGCGGGAGCGCCGCCGCACTTCCCAAGCGGCACACCATCCATTGCGCCACCTATGTGGGATCCGAACCCTCGGGCGGGAGCGCCGCCGCGCTTCCCAAGCGGCACACCATCCATTGCGCCACTGGGCCGGCCCTGGAGATGACTTTTAAACTGTGATTTCTAAGCCAGTGTCCTTTCCAGAACCCCACCCCATATCCCACTGCCTGCCCTCTTCTGGGCTCCTCCGCGGTGATACTCCTTTCTTTCCACCTCGGATTGCAGTAGCCGTGTCAAGTGCATTTCCCCAGGGAGCTACTGCAGATGAGGGCACTCGGTAGGATGTTGTTGTATAAGGCCCAGCGCTCTTGTGCACAAAATGCTATTCTCAAGGTGTCATAGTCACATAAGAAAGCTTTTATTGAAACATCCAAGATGTATATATTCTTTGTGTATGTCAAAAAAAATATGGTGTTTTGATATAGCAGCTGAGAAAATCTATAGCTTGTAAAGATGGATTTTTATCAGTGAATACACTACAAATGAATGAAGTAAGACCCTGAGTTTTTCCTTAGCAGAAGATTATTTGTCTCTTCCCCACCCCCGTCCCCCTCGTGTCCCTGCCGCCGCCACCCACACCCCCTGCCAACATCTTGCTAGGTTGAACATGCTGAATTTGCTGGGTTTTTCTCTTATTAAATAGGTTGGTCAGGCCAAAGATGAACTGCTGACCAGTCAACTGATAGACCATCTCATGGGGGAGAGTGATGGTATGCCTAAGGTACTGCAAATGTTTGCCTCCTTTGGTTCTTTATATCTTAGTTATGATGTTACTTTATTCTGCTCTGTCTTTATCTATCATATTTTTGCAACATAGACTTGTAAAATTTTCACTCTGAAAGTAGCTATAGATCATCTACATAGACCCCACGGTTTAGAGGATATTATGTATATTCACTCTTTAAGATTGGTATTGCCACCTATGAAGTAGCCATGCCCCTCTAGATGACAATCCTCACCACCTGTAATTTTTCTCAAATGTTATAGTTTTGTTTATTCTAGGAATTATAAAAAATTATCATTGAAACTATGAATTAGTACTGATCCCTAGAAATCAGAGTATGCTTTGTTCATACTTAAAAAATTATGGAAATTAACAAAAATCATATTAAGCATTAAAGTACCTCGCTATAAATATAAAGTAGAAAGAAATCGTTAAGAGCATATTTTCACAACATGTGACTCACTGTGGGTTCCTGCAGAAGTCGCCCTTCTCTCAATTCTGATGAAGAGAGACTCACTGGCTTTTGAGGATGCTCCAGACCTGCTTCTCCCCCTTTGCTTTAGTGTTCAAGGAGCTTTGCTAGCAAAGAACTTAAGTCACTGATTTAAAGAGAGGATAGTAGAATGTCACAGCTGGAGAGGATTGTAGCAATCCCTAAGTCCATTTCTTTTGTCTTACAGATAACTTAGCTTCTGTGGGTCTCTGTGGCTTTAACTTGCCAAAGGACACAGCTCCTTGAACTATTCTAAACCACCTCCCATTACGTCCACTTACTCTAATAATCTGGAAACCAACTATTAAATACATGAAATTGTCCAGAGATGGAATAGGAATGGAAAATGGTCAAAAGACAAAGAAAATTTTATAGATCAGAAAAAATTTATTTAGGTGTAAAAATTTTTGAAATTTTGCAAAGTTGGTACATTGTGTAAGAACACGTTTTGTTTCCAAGCATTTGAGAGAGAAGTCTTTGGAGTCACATCAGGAACACAGACTCTGAAGCCAGATCCCTGTGGTTCACATCCCGGCTCTGCCACTCTCCTGCAGTGTTTCAGTTTCTCACCTATGAAATGAGGATAATAATAGTGCCTTCCTCCTAGGGTTGGTATTAGGATCTAAATGAGTTAATATTTTTCAAGTACTTAGAACACTACCTGGCACATATTAAACTCTGAATAAATGTTTGATAAATAAACTAATCATTTATTGGGTTTTTAAAAACAATGTCGTTTCTCAGTTATTGGCAGATAAATGTGGTTCTCACTGAAATGTAAAAGTGTAGGTGTTTCTCCCCTTAGCTAATGAAGAAAGTGATGTTTCTCTAATGGTTTCTATGTCAGGATGCCAAGTACCTGTTCCGCCTGTACATGGCTCTGAAACAATACCGAGAAGCTGCCCGGACTGCCATCATAATCGCCAGAGAAGAGCAGTCTGCAGGTGCGTCCATATATTCATATTTTTCTCCCTAAATTGGTGGTAGAATCAAGCCCCAACCCCTTTTCTGCCCAAGAAAGAGTAGCCAGTTTCTAATCTAGGCTTGCTTTGAACCCAGAAGACTAAGCAGATGAGCATCTCTGGGTTTCAGAGAATTAAGATAGTTTATCATCACGGGGAATACAGACTCCCTGGCCTTCTCTTTGAGGTGTTACTTCCTCTTCTTCACAGCCTCAGAGTTTCTGTCTCCTGAACAGTGACTTCTCTGACCTCTGCAGCCCACAGCATCCCTCCTACAAACTTACCACATTTTCTTGCTGTTCCATATACTTGGCCTTAATGATGTAGGAGATATTAGAAGATGAAAGATAACTATGCAGTTATTATTATGAACCTAGTTCTTTATAATATGCAGGGACTTTTTATAGAATCTTCAGAATGATTCCACTCACATGTATGCCCTGTAAATATTTATTGAGTAAGTCAGAGAATTAGCCTGATATTTTCACTAATTTTTGAAAGCTGAGATTCTCTTAGATGTCCACAAATATAGAACACAATTTTGGGAAATATGCAATTAAATGTCATTACTTTATTCAGCTTATGTTGCTCTAACATCTCCTGTCTGTCAGATACATGTTAGGAGCTCAGGATACAGACAGTGCTGAACCACAGTTCTGCCCTCAAGGGTTCATGATTCGATGGGAGAAACAGAAAGCAAATTCAGAGTTGTAATATAGGGTGACAAATGCTGGAGTAAAAAGAGAAATATGCTAATAAGGCATCAGGAAAGGGGATCCGGGGTATCCTGAAGGTTAGGGGTAGGGAGAGTTGGAGGGTGGAGATGAGAGAAGGCAACAAAAGCTTCAGGTGAGTTTTAAAAGTATGAGAGAGCAGGAGACAAGAGAGAAAGGGCTGTGCTGGGAGAGGACCAGCAAGGTCAGAATGAAGCCAGAAAGGATTATGATTAGCACACGACTGTGGAGAGAAACAATGAGAAGCATTAACAGGGGACATGAGGAAGGCAGACTGAATTTGGAGCCTAGAAGATAGACCAGAACATGGTGACCCAGTGGATTTGGGGCCAGGTGGGTGCCCTGAGGAAGAGCAAGACATCCGGAGGACACCACCATTTTCTCTCAGAGGGACTGCCTAGATTTTAGTATCATCAATTAAAATAGGAAAAATTGCTAAGTTACTTTATGTAAGAAATGATTAAGATATCACTAATAATGCAATAAACAAAATCCACTTGTAAGATCAGGGCCCATAGAAAGTCTTCAGATTTCATCCTATGCAAAAATATTATTTTACCACCTTTTTTCAAGGAAACTATCGGAATGCACATGATGTTCTCTTTAGTATGTATGCAGAACTTAAATCCCAGAAGATCAAAATTCCTTCCGAGATGGCTACCAACCTCATGATCCTGCACAGTTACATACTTGTGAAGGTGAGGCCCTTGGAGTGACTTGGGACATAACCCGCCAGGAATATTTATCCCCCTCCAGGATTTCCTCCAGGCACCCTCCCTGGGATTAGAGTGATATCCCAGATCTCTATATTGTTAAGGGACAAAAGTGAGATACTGAGTAATTCTACAGTGTGTACAAAAAGACAAAAGTGAGAATGGATATTTATTCTTTGCAAATAAAGTTGGAAACATACTGAGGAGACTAGCAAAAGTGGCTTGCTAAAGGGAACAAGGCATGGGGCAGGGAAGACATGGCACCCACCCTAATGGGGTGGGAGGGAGAAGAGGGAGCAGGCTTCGCTGTGTGTATCTTTTTATATTGTTTTGATTTTGAAGCCTATAAATGTATTACTGTGCCAAAAAAAATAGAATTACTTAACATATTCTTTGTTTAGGCAGAGCTTATTTTATAAAATTCTCATATTTTTTAATATTGTTTACTTATATCTGAATGTAAAAATAATACATATTCACTAAGAATATTTAGAGAACATAGAAAAGTTTAATGAAAAAATAATTCATCCTTTAAGTCCATCACCCAGCTATAATAGTTGCTAACACTATGTCGTATATGTCCTCCATACGTCTATAAATGCATGTACATACCTTTTTTTTTTTCCAAACTGGGATTATATTTATGTCCAGTTGTGTAGTCTGGTTTTTTTAAATTTATTTTTTAATTGAAACAATTGATTATACATATTTGTGGGGTACAGAGTTGACTATCAGTATTTGTGTGCAGTATGTGATGATCAAATCAGTATTATTAGCATATTCATCATTACAAATCATTATTCCTTGTGTCCTTTACCCAATTTCTGCCTAACCCCCCTGCCCCTCCTGCTTTCCCACCTCTAATAACCATAAATCTGTTCTCTCCTTCTGAAAGTTCAACGTATTATTGGGGTTGTTTGTTTCTCTCTTTTGTTCGTTCTTTCTTATATTCTATTTTTTTAATTAGTAATTCTCAATAGAAACAAAATAGATTATACAAACCCAAAGTACTTATATGTATAATATACATGTTTTATGTATTTGTACATATATTTATATGTACATTTATGTATACACACATATCTTTGTAAAGATACAGGCAGACTTCATCTTATATATTTTTCCAAATTTTCATTTCTGTCAAAGTACGTATTTGTATATTAATGCTAAGTTGGTTCTCTGGCCAGTCCACAGAGCTTACTTAACTTTGAAGGTACCTAGCATGGAATAGTCATGCTATGAATGATCTAAATCCTAATCATGTCTGTGTTGGCACTGTCCTATAGAACTTTCTGCAGTGACAGAACTGTTCTGTATCCGGGCTGCCCAGTATGGTAGCCACTGACCTGGCTCTGGAGCACTTAAAATGCAGCAAATGCAATTGATAAAATAAGTTTCTAATTTTATATAATTTTAATTTTTAAATTTAAACAGCCACGTGTGATTAATGGCTACCATATTTGACAGCACAGGTCTCTACCACCAATTATAATGGAAATCATTTGGAATTCCAACATGCAAACCCTGGGAGTACATTTCCCTTCAGCGCAGCAGGGGGATCCTTCTCTCATAGAGAAAGGGGTCAAAAGGAGGAGGGAGCTTTTTCTCAGCTGCAGACATGCATGTAATGCCAGTGTTCTGGGAGCACAGAATCCAGCAAATGCAGCCTTTAGGAATAGGGAGAGGGATAGAAACCCGTTGGTGGAAGATGAGGAGCAAAAATAGGGATTCCCGTAGAAACCCTCCAGGAACAGGGCATCCTACCCCATTAGCCACAGGGATGCTTCTCGAGTCCTTTTCTTTTCCTCTGGCTCCAGGGGTTGGCTCATCACTTCCATTTGGACCAGACATCCTGCTGCTCTCCTACTGAAAAGCATGCTGTGACTTCCCCTTGCTCTAATCTCTTATATAGCACCAAGCATTTCCAAGATTTTCTAAGATTTTTAACTGGTGTGGAATCAAAAGGGAAACTGTCAGACCCTATCAAGTAAGAGTAAATTGATGCAAAAATGTCACAGGCATCTGTATAAGCCCGTTTCTGTTGCTTGTAACAAAATACTTGGAACTGGGTGATTTGTAAGAAGACAAAATGTATTGCTTACAGTTTC